CTGTTCTGATCGAAAGAACGCATTAGTGCAAACTTCGTGAACTAGTGCAGCCAGTTCAGGTCGAAAGAACAAACCTCTAGTGTGTTCGTCAGTAATGGCGTTGGGGCATGAGTCATGGATGCGACTCTAGCCAAATATTGAAGGAAGGAAGGAAGGAATAGCGTGTTCGACTGGCCTTGGGTTAATCGCTCCGAAAGCGATTAATGACGTCATAAGTCTCTACTAGCCAATCATAAAGCTTATAAGTACTTGTTCGACCAATAAACGTAGGCTGAATAACTCAGAGTGGGTTAACCCATTGTTGTGTGTCCATTCTATGCCCATTTTCTGGCGATTCGTGTCCGTGCTAAGCGCATAATTGCATGGTTAAAAACATGGACAGTTTTTAACCATGTTTTCAATCACGCAATTATGCGCTTAACACGGACACGAATCGCCAGAAAATGAGCATAGAATGGACACACAACAAATCAACACTTTACCGGCAGCGTTTGAAAATGGGCATAGGGAACGTAGTTCCACCTAAAAAATGGGTGCAGATGGCGCATCGAACAGTGTGAGGTTAGGCGACAGTTTCCCGAAAAGTGGAGGGGATAATGTTGGTACCAAGGAAAATCTCTACACGATATAATTTAAAGATTTTGTTTTTTGTAACTGCACCGCTAAATTGGTGCAATAAATTGAAATAAGGCAAGTATACGTTTTCTCACTCTAACCTTTTGCATTAGTTCAGCAGTGCAGTTACAAAAAACAGATCTTTAAATTATATCGTGTAGAGATTTCTCTTGGTACCAACATTATCCCCTCCACTTTTCAGGAAACTGTCGCCTAACCCAGCGTGAAAATCGGTGTCGGCCAAAACGCATGGCGTGACCGTTCTCAGGTTTCTCTCTGGTAATACTAATTGCATACTGAATTTCTCCTTAGGATAATGGAGAATTTACATTGTATCCGAGCTTAATTTACAATGGCTGCGTTCAGAAAACACAGCTGATCAGTGAGCGGTCAGTGATTATTGGTCCTTACTGTTAGATCCCTAACTTTAGACCAATTACGTTGACTAATTATTCAACCGTTGTATAACTGTTGTGTCTCCTGAACACAACCAATGCGTTCTTTGCTTCCTGTTTCTTTTTCTTTATTTCTTTCTGACAAATACCAAAATTTTTAGCTAGAAAAAGATAAAGTATAAAAAATAGGCAGCAAAAAAAATACATTATAGATAAACTTTAGGGAAAACTTTTAGTTAATTTACAGATTTTTTTCATAGGGTTTACTATAAAATTTAGTATAAAAAACAGAAAATTCTTATATTTAATAATCTCTTATCAATAAAATAGTTGCTAATCTAAGGAAAATTAAAAGTCCTCCCAGAAAAATATAGTCTAGAATTTCCGATTTGAATTCATTCAAATCGGAATTATTATTAGCTATTTTTTTGTTTAACTTTATAACGTAAAATTCTTAATTATAGAAATCGTTCTCACCAGATTCCCACATTTTTAATAGAATACGATCATCAGACATTAATGTAGATACAATTTATGACTGTCTTATAAATCTTTAATAAAACAAAGCAAATAAACAATAAAACACGAAAGTGAATAACACAGAAATCAAACTTAGGAAATAAAATTTTCTTAAAAATGAGTCAACTCCATGAAAAACGAACCTTTCATTTTTTATAACTAACGTGTTTTGTGTTGCATTGCACTGCATTAAATAGCATCGTATCGTTAGATATATAAAACAGTAATCAATACACTCGTCGTTAGAAAGCCCGTTAGGTACCTGCTAAGCGAAACTCACTAATATCCGCAGCCGCAATTTGATTTAGAAAGTTTATTCTAACGTGTGTGTGTATACATATATATATACATATATATATACACATACATATATACACACACATATATACATATATTTATATATACACACACAACGTAATATATTTTTTTATATACTTATATACGTAGCAATATGAATCAATCAATGGCCGCGTTCCGTGTTACGCATATGCGCACATTTATCTATAGTTCATGTCACATATACTGTAGAAAATGTGCGTACAATGCGTAAAATTGAACGCAGCCAATATTAACTCGTCTACTTTACAAGATATATATACTTATTGAGTGATCATTTTCCAGTCGTTACGGTGTCGCGCAACAAATACACACCATACATGTTGTATTTAGCAATTTCCAAATAATACGTATATAATCCTTTCCTAGTAAGTGTTAGTTTCCTAACATCATATAAGACGAAGAGCCTACTTCCAGAAAACGTCTTAAGTATATATTTGAGAAAAGATTATATATTAGGAAGCCCCCTTCAATTGTGCCAAACATATATAATCTTTATTTCTACTTAATCATATCTTCTTGGCAAGCTTGTATATAAAGAAATTTCATTTTAGAATGAATTATCGAAATCTTTAAATGACAAAAAAAATAAGTAAGTAGTATCTAAGTATCCTGGTACTTAAAAATCCTACAAAGTCCCCTTCTTTAGTGTGCATTGTTTTTCTTTTTTTCTAATTATATTCGTACATTTTTAACTTTTCTCAGTATTTAGGAACTTCACAGATAAAATCTTTTTTTTTTTTAATACACATTTAAGACAATTTAAGGAAGTAAGTTCTTTACATTTGAGAGAGACGGAGATAAATATAACACAAATTTAAAACTCTGAAGGTTTAATTCGTAGGATCACAGGAACACTGGTGCATGGCAGAATAGCCAGTTCTGTGACGACGGCAGTGATGAGATCAGCTGGAGTTACGTCGTAGGTGATGTTCAGGAGATTCAGCGATTTTCTTGCTCGCCAGTTAGTGAGCAGAGACTTTTTCGAGCTGCGATGCGAATTTACGAGGTCATCCGCGTTACCTGAAGTAGGAATAGTGAAGAAAATGAATAAGTATATAAAAGACACTAAACACAATACAGAAGACTCGAGATAAATAATTAAATTATATTGTAGTAACTAAGTTAAAGTAAATTAAATTGAAGTTAAAAGTTACAAGAAGTAAAAGATGAAAATACTACGAGTCAAATATAACGTAAACACATTGAACAAAGTCGGTAATGAGATAAAGATATATGATACGTTATAAAAATATAACAGAGCTAAAGTATATTAAAATTATAATGAAGTTACAATGATATGTATATAAAATGGAAATAATATGTGGTATGTGTGAAAGATAGATTTTCGTGCTTACCAAGTTCGTTGTACACGATGGAATCGGTCTGCACTCGTCCGCATGTTTTATGCGTCTCACATGCCACTAAAACCGGCACGTTAAAAGCCTTCGCTATGAGAGCGATCTGCGAAGTTCCAACTCGCGACATCACTGCGCCATTGGCCAATATTGTGTGAGCACTAAGAAAGACTTTGCTAACCTAGATAACGATGAAATATAAAGTTAGTTCATTATCACATATCATTAGATTTTGTCATATTTTAAACAGATAAATGAAAAATAAATCAGCATCAGAAAAGATAGAGACCGAGGTATACAAACGTATCGAAATGCTGAAAATACAGATAGGCCGAGTTTTCGAACAATTCTTCAATGTTTTGACTAGGATTTTAAAGATAGAAAATTTGCCACAATTAGATTCACTTTGTTTGTGCATCATCGACTCTGCAATTCGCATCCTGCATTAATCAGCTAAGTATTACTCACTTCTGGCATGATGAAGCTCACAGCATTGATGTACATGTATGAACAATCAATTCCGTGTTTTACTAGACGTCTTAATTGTTCTCTACCCTCCAGCCACGGTCTGCCGTCGACTACGATGACGCGGAACTTTTTGTCCGCAGCATGAGCATCCACTAATATGTTACAGATTAAAGATGAGCTGAAATATCATGAATAATTAGAAACTTTTGATAGAATTTATGTATTATATAACATATGTATTATATAACTATGTATTATATTCTATAATTTATGTATTATATAACTTTAGTAGAATTTATGTATTCAATATACGTTAATTATATGGTACATTATAAAATATTATAAAATATATATTATAAAATTTATATATATATATATATATATATATATATATATATATATATATATATAAATTTAAAAATATAATTTGAATTTATATATAATTTTTAAAAATCATACATTCTATGCATACTTACAATCCATAAATTAAAATGATATCTCCATTTGATATCTTAGTTTGTATAGTTATGGATATTGCTTTGCCAGCAAGTTCAATCTGTTCTGTTATGTAAGTGTCTATTATGCCTGTCAACTTAGATTTTGCCTGAAAAGTAAGCAAGAAATTCTTAATAAATAGATAATGGAATTCTAATCATAAAAGATTATAATCACTGTTTTTTAATTATTGTAAGGTCAACTATAAAAAATATTTGTAAAATCTTTAATAATTCTAATATGTAACATATTTCTAATGAATGCTAATCATTGTGACAAGTATGCCAATTATTGTGATAAAAGTGCCAATAATTATGATTTTCGTTATTTCAATTTGTTACTTTAAGCAGGACATTTTATTTTTCCAATATAATTATGTGTTCTTATAATCTAGAATCTTGCTTAATCTTTGCAAAAAGAACGAGTTCTGCAAGCGTCCAAGTTTTGTATTACAGGAGACAGTTTAAGAAATAAAAGAAATAAAAGCTTAAAATTGCTAATCGCTGTACTTTTTCCCCTATATAATCGTCATCTCTCTCTTGAAATTTTTATTATCGAGTTAATTTTCCTTTCCCTTTCGAACGAGAGCACTCACCTCATCCGTCGATATGGTGATTGGGAAGGTCGTCATGTGCCATTTGAGATGACGCATTGCGTTCTGCATTGAAACGGCCACTGGCCGGCAACGATGCAAGTACGCGAGCAAATCCCGCAGGCACACTTCGAGGCTGCGGGTGAAGTCCGCTTGCTCTGGCTTTACAAAGTCCTGGATTACCTGCTTGACAGCTGCCAACAACGCGACGCACCTCGCGTTGCTGCCGACGATCGTCCTGCCCGCGTATTGCGCGCCCAAACCTATGATCGCCGGGTGAATGTTTGAATTGACGGGCACGCTGTCCAGAGAGAGCTCCCTCTCGTTGTACAGATGCTTGAACAGGTTCACCTCGTGGTCATTGTCCCTTTTCACGACTCTCTTCGCGCTCGCAGTCTCACCGGCTGCTTGCTGCGGCTTCACCAGAGGAGCTTCTTGACTCCTCACACCGCTCTTCGCCGAAGATAACTGCTGCGACGTCGAGGGCGGTTGCTGCTTCGTCGAGGTTTCTTGTTGCTTCGCTGCGGACTGTTGAAGCTGCTTCGCCGCTCTCTGAGCCTCTTGCTTGGCTCTTCGTTCAGCGCGCAACTCCGCCTTACTCTTACCTTCGCTCTTCTCGTCGGAAATCGCACTGTCTTGTCTAGAGACGGCTGAAGACTCGACATTTGCGGGCTGAACAGTCAGAGGATGTTGAGTCTCTTTGGAGCTCTTCTCAGCTTCCCTCGCGGGTTGAGGACTCTGTAACGACGTCACCACGACGTTAGTTTCCTGTGAGCTCTGCACGTCGGTCACAACGGGCTTCGTTGTGACGCTTCCTATCGAGACTTCGTGTTCGGTCTCAACATCGTCTGTGGTTTCTCCTGTTTTCTTGCCCTTCGCCTTCGCCTTGGCGGCTGCCTTAGCCGCCTTCTTTGCTTCACGTTCCGCCTTCACTTCCTCTCTCGTCTTTTCCGGAAGACTCGATTTGTTATCTGCCATCTTGATCGAAGGCGGTGACGCGCTCAACTCTTCGCTCTTGAAGACGGTGGCTGGATCACTCTGGATATCGTTTCCTCCTGTGATCTGCTTGGACTCAATCTCTTTCACGGGCTGCGAATTCTGCGAATCAGTTACAGGCTTTGTCTTTTCCGGAAGACTAGATTCTTCATTAATCATCTTGATCGAAGATATTGATTCCTGCGCACAATAGTCCGACTTCTCGTTGCCGGAGGTGGCGATTAGGCCACTTTGGATATCGTTTTCTTCCGCATTCTGCTTGGGTTCACTTTCTCTCGCAGACTGCGAACTCTGCGTATCGTCCACAACGGTCGCCTTTCGCAAATCCCTCGCCACGTCTCCGAGAATTTTCGTTTCCGCGCTCTTACTCGGGCTCGTACAATCAGCCGTTGCAGACTCATGCTGGACATCGTTATTATCCGTACCCGTACTTTCCGCTGCCTTCTTGCTCTTCGCCTTCATCTTAGCCGCTTTCTTCGCCTGCCGTTGCGCTTTAACTTCTTCCTTCGTTTTTTCCGGAATGCTAGCTTTTACATTTGCCTTCTTGGTCGAAGAAACTGGTTTCTGCGGAGACCCATTCGACTTCTCGCTCTTGGAAGTGGCACTCGAGTCATTTTGGATACTGTTCTGTTTGGAGTTCTTAGTTCTCCTCGCGGACTGTGAGCTCTGCGAGTCAGCTACGACGTCAGTTTTACTCGCCACTACGTCTTTGACAGTCTCCGTTTCCGTGCCCTTCCCCAGGCTTTTATCGTCGGCTGTCGAAGACTTGTTTCTGTTCGTGGATCCCGCTACCTTGCTCGCTTTCATCTTGGCAGCCTTATTCGCCCCGTGCTGCGCACTCATTTTCTCTCTCGTCTTTGTCGAGGAATGAAACGTTTCTTCCGCTGTGCTGGCGGTCGGAGATGCCAACGAAGACGCGTTTGTCTCTTCGCCCTTAGATTCGGCGCCCGAATCGCTCTGGCCACTGCTCGTTCCTGTAATACTGCCACCGTTCACAGTATTCGCTGATAAGTGATTTACGCAGTGATTTGTTGTGCTCATCTCCACTTGGTCATTCTTAATATCAATACTCTCAGTCTCGATGTCTCTTTGCATGGAGTGGTCGGCGACGTTCACAAGGACGTTTTGTCTCAAGATTTGCCCGTTTCCCACTGAATCGGAGTCTAATCTACTGGCGGAACAATTGGAATCACAGTTCAAATTGGAGACACTCGATTCAGAATTCGACGAGGATGTGTTCTGCAAATCCTCATCTAACGTCGCGCCGACAGTAGACGATTTCGCACACTTCTTCCTCTTCTTCCTTTTCTTCTTACCGTTTGTCGTCTGAGATAAATTATCTTCCGCTCCATTTACAGATTTCGCTTCGTCGACCACGTTGGACGAGCAGTACGAGGGAGGAAGATTCGTTGCAGCATGACTGCTTTCTAAGCTCGCGAGTTTCTTCAGAATAGCGGCGATGGTAAGATCATTCAACGGATCTGACAAGGATAGATTTACCGATGAATGCGAAAACACAGACTTGTCCAATCCGGCGGACGCCAGTTCCAGAGCTGCTTGCTGCGACGTTAATGACGATTTGTCACTTATGTCCGCACTGTTCTTTGTCGTACCGTTCGCCTCTTCGTCCTTGATGTGGCTGCTCACTCCGTTGAGAATATCAAGATACTGTCGTTCCTCGGCTCTTCGAGCATCTTTGAGCCGCTTGCGACGAAGATGCCTCGCAGTAGCTTTTGTGACCGGTTTTCGAGTCTCTTGTTCAGTCAACTGAAATATACAGTCAAGGTTATTCGATAAGATTCTACAATAAAATTACACTGTCTCAAGTAGGTAATGAAAATCGACTGAAGTAGGTAGTTCCAAATAATAAGATTTCGTCTAATTCTCCATTATATCTATCTTACATCTAATTTTCTATTACACTGTACATTATAAATCTGCATTATAGATGAAAAAGGTCAATGCCTGTCGAAAAGATATTCGAACTGATGAATCTGAAATTATAACTTGAACTTGAAACATCAGAGTAAACAGTTGAGACACACTAAGTTTATGTAAATATTTGTATTGGAAAGTAAGGAAAACGTCCATAGCTTTTATAATTTACTACCTGGATGGTGATTATATGAAGAAGTGAATATCTAATTTCATCATTAGTACATATATTTTTGTAACCAAGTTTCAAATTAAAATAGTATCAAAGTATTGAAATTAATTTAAAATCTAAATTTGTTATTTGTTAGTTGTTATTTGTTATTGCTTTGAAGCTTTAGTTTTTAAAAAGCTCTTTACTTAAGTTTATTTACAATTCATAAGCTTGCATCTTAATATTTGTATAAAGGAAAAATAGACTCCAAAGTAAACAAAGAATCCACTTTTATAAGGAACTCGATATTTCCAGAAGAGATCTAACTTAGTAAAGGACAGCCCATGTACAGAATCATTAGAATAAGAAGGAAAAGGTTCAAAACATTATTATAATAAATATAAATTAATGTAGGCATTGAAATTACACACACACACACACACATACATATATGTATATGTATATGTATATGTATATATATAGAAGTGTAAGAAGTAAAACCAAAGATTTAGGATAAGAGGCATAAATAAAGGAGCGATTAGAAGTAAGTGTGTGGATGAGTATGAGTGAGGTAGATGGAAATGCAAGCCAATGCCCTTCCTGGCATTGTAAGCTGAAGTAATAATTAAATATATTATATATAAATAAATTACATATATATATATATATATATATATATATATATATATATAATTATATATAATATTAGAATGATAATGAAATTAAATGATAGATACATAAATAAATAAATACAAATACAAATAGATACAAAAATAAATAAAAATGAAAAGGCAGAAGAAAAAAGAGAAAAGAAGGAAAAAAGGAGAGAAAAATGTATATAAGTATGTATAAACCTAAGATATTTAAGCAACATTAATAGCAAATCATGCAAAATATTCATGCAAACATCTCAATTCGTCGAGATTATTGGCTCCACTTATGTTTACAGAAAAGACAAGATGTTCTTTGTTAAACAAATAAAACAAATGTTCTTTGTTAGAAAAGAGCAATAATTTCGATTAATTTAGATATGTACGTGCATTTACTAACATGTTTCTCCTGCTCCATTGTTACAGCCCCGATGCTCAAAGCGTGACCAAATGCAGCAGCTAGCTAGGACAATTAGAATAACGTAAGTTTTACTTTACGCTTCAGATTCTATTGGCAGAGTGATGCACTTAACTTTTCTAAGCGCTTGCATAAACACTTCCCAGACACGATAATATAATGTCAGTAGTAGATTAGGGAATGTTTCATAAGCAACAGAGAAAATATAGCCTTTTTCCCTTTAAATTTCGAAGAGTATAATAACTTCATACATATTATTATGAAATATCCTATATAATGTATAATAACTTCTTATTGCTATAAAATAAAAACTATTCACTTATGACTTGTACTAGATTTGAAGAATTATTGTGTAACAAACTAATTACAATATCATATAATAATTGTATATAATGGATATATAATGGATATAAAATGATATATGATATATAATGAATATGTAATATTATGTAATGACATAAAATGATGAAGATATTGATATATTTAGTATTCTGTTATGAAAATCTTGCTATGTATTAAGATATATCGCAATATATCAAAATATGTTGCAATATATGAAGCTATCATCATGTGAGATGCTAATAACAATGATTTATTAATTATGGAATGTCCTATATAATTAAGATGATCAGATTCTCCAGCCCTGAATTTAGGACACTTTATAAATGTGTGAAGCAGGGGGAGGGGGGTTAAAACATCCGAAAATTATTTAGTAATCATTGAAAATAATAGCAAATCGGTGTCCCAAACAGCACTCTAAAAAAATTTTTGGACAAAGGTGAAAAATCGAGACTGTTCTGAAAAAATCAGGTGATTTGGTCACCTTAATATAATGCAATAACCTCCTGTTACTACATAATAAAAAATGCTTTGACTTAGATAAAATGGAAGAATTATTATACGAAACTAATAATAACATTATATAATAAATATATAATAATGATATAATAAACATATATAATTATCAAGATATTAATGTATTTAACATCTTGATCTATATCAAGAATTTGCTGCATAGCAGGATGTATTGCAACACATAACAATATGTTGCAATGCATGATGAATAATATGATCGTATGAGATACTAATAACAATGATTTGCGACAAATACAAACATATATAGAATGAATATGATATACCAGGTCTTGGTTCGTCTATTCTTTTTTCTCTTTTATCGTTTATCGAAATAATTAAGATGTGAATTGTGATGTGCTAACCGAACGAGAACCGCGTCTGTTAAAATCCGGTGCAATATTCTACGACACGTGTATATTCGAATGAGATCATCTACTTAATTAACTCTAGTTATCCGAAATGTTGTATCAGACAACGAAATAATGTGGAAAAATGGATTTTTCGTCGAGTACATTTTGTGTCGCGTGTCTCGATTATTCCTACGATAATAACCTAACCTATCGCGACACGTACACATGTTTTCAACACGATCGCCAAAATATTCAACGAAACTTCTTTGTTGAACAGTGAATATACCTGTTATTTGTGCACTCTACAGATATTGTAACTCGATTAACCCTTGCTCGAAACTGTCGGCCAACCTCATAAAATCACAAAACATACGTTCAAGTCTTTCGCCATGATGAATTATTGGGTGCATTCAGTACTACAACCGCTTACTGAGCACTCAGTGAGCTCTTGTATCCCATTGGCTTATTCTTTTAGATCTAAAAATATGTACCAATGAAATGTAAGAGCTCACTGAGCGCTCCGTGAGAGGTGTAGTAGAGTCACTAGAGGTTTGTTCTTTTCAACTGAACTAGTGCTGCACTAGAACTGCACTAGTTCGGAACTGGAACTGACGAGTACAGCAAAAGTTCATAGGTTTAGACATGCCAGAGCTATGTTCTATCTTAAATCCTACTCGATGGGTAGAGTTAGGGCTATCGCACACAAATTGACATAACTGCATATGCATAGCATAAGACCGTGGGAGCGGTGCACTTGGACACGGTGCATTTGGACACAGCCAATCACAGCACCGTGTGATTAGAGACATTTGTAGGGTCCCTTGGAACAGCGACTTATGATTGGACTGTGTCCAATTGATATACACCCTAAGACCGTATGTACCAATGAGCATCGAGTATTAAGTCGCCATATTGGTGTTCGATGCTTAATATTCGATGTTCATTGGCCCATACGATCTTATGCTATGCATATGCAGTTATGTCAATTTGTGTGCGATAGCCCTTACTTTAATAAACCAATCATAATAAATAAATCTTAGTTCCTTTTGCTCTGATTGGCTCTGATTGGATTAATTAAATGTTACTTTACTCACGGAGTAGGGTTTCTGAACGCAGCCCAGATAGGATGGAAAAGAACGCCATAGTGCAGTAAACAACATGGCGCAACACATAATTTTAGATACAAATAATTCTTCAGATGAAGAATTTACTGTATTTGCGTTAATGTATGTATCTCAATTGTCCGCAGAATCTATCTGGAATATTGCCACCTTCATTCCTTTTAATTTCTGCAATATTCATCTCTTCCATCTTCATAGATCTGTTCTTTTCACCTGAACTACTTGCACTGGTACGGTAACTTTTATCTTTGCACTGCACTGCACTGCTTGCATTAGCTCCAGACTCAGTACAAGCAGTTCAGTGAACTGTTGCACTAAGACCCGGTTGCACCAACGTTAAGCTGGTGGCACACAGAAAAACTTAAGCAGTAAAACGTAAGAAGTAAGCAAATTGACCAATCACAGTCATTGATTCTTCTTACGGCCCAAAAATCAACGACTGTGATTAGTCAATTTGCTTACTGCCTACGTCTTACTGCTTAAGTTTTTCTGTGTGCCACGGCCCTTATTTTTATTTTAAGTGACACTTAAATACATATCTATCTTTATTTATATAAGAAGAAAGATAAAGATAGATATATGTTTAAGTTTCGCTTAAAGCCAAAATAATGTTGGTGCAACCAGGCCTAATGGCTCCTGCACACAGAACGCGGTAATGCTTGCCGCGCGGCGGAAATTCGCGCGACAGCCAATCAAT